GGGAGCCGGCCCGGTGCCTGCCCGGAGAGCAGCGTCTCCTGGCGAGAGGGAGCCGGCCCGGCCTTCTCCTCAGCAGCCCGGAGCAGGGCCGGGGGCGCAGGCCGGGGCACAAAGGGCTGTGGCGACTCCCGGGGACGCTTAACGCTTTTGGCTTTTCTTCCCCCTTTTATAGCCAACCCAATAGCAAGGAAGATCTTAAAATGTACTTGTTTACAGTAAACTCTGAAAATACAAGCTGTATCTAAAAATTATAGCGTGTAGTAGAAGCATTAGTTTTCTTTAGGGGTGTTTTGGATATTACTTGACAATTTTTTTCTTTGCAGAAATAGTAGAATTTCAAAAAATAGTGGGTAGCTTAATTGAACTTGTCGATCAACTGGCAAAAGCTGCTGAAAGTGAGAAGATGAAGGTACTGTGCGATTAATTACTGGCTTGTCGTGTCCTCTGTCCTGTACTGTGCATGAAAAAACAGATCTCTCCCTTCCTCCTTGTACAGCATAAGCATCTGTCGGTCTCGTACAGTCATTTCTCTGGTAGTTAACATCTGTCTGTCTGCAGTATGAAAGCATGGGGCTTATTGATATAAACATTTAAAAGATTTTTGTAGGCACTGTCAGTGTCACGTTGTTCCTGCAGTTAACAGTCCTACTGCTTATCTACATATTTGCACATAAACAGAACGTGTATTTTTTAATAACTCCTTCTGCTAGTAGAGTTTTATCCTCAAGGGGCAGGAGAGGCTCAGGGAGGCGGAGAGCTTCCTAAAGACCAGAGTAGTGAATAGCTCCATAAGTACTTTTGAAACGTCCTTTATGTGTCACCAGGTGGTGTGTTTTTTTTTCCATGGTACAGTGGAAATAGAAATTAATGTTTAGTGCAATTGTAGTATTACTTTTTTTCCTTATTCTGGAGGAAAAATTGTAACCAGAGCTTGTCAGTCTGTAGGACCAGTCACCAGCTATCAGTTTGTATTTCCAAAGGAGTCAGTGGCTTTTGTTGCTTGAGCCTGAAGGAAGTCTGAAATGCCTTAATCTGCCCAACCTCCACAGGGACGGTTTGCCTGTTCCACCAACCACTCAGTATTCGGGCATCACCCTCCTTTGTTGTTAGTGTGGCTGAAACACTTCAAAATCAACCTGCTAGTAGTGAAAGGGGTTAAGAAAAAACAAAATCCCAATACAACTACATCCCTGACCGTCCTCTTTTGACAGGCCATCGGTGCACGAAATTTGCTGAAGTCTATAGCAAAGCAAAGAGAAGCTCAGGAGCAGCAACTTCAGGCTTTAATAGCTGAAAAAAAGATGCAGCTGGAAAGGTGAGTTTTCTATTAAATACTTTTGGGGCATTATGTAGGCTGGAAAGTCAGTCTCACCATCTGTGCTCAGCTGCAGGACACTGTCCAAGCTTGCTCAAACAGTCCATCTGCAGCAAAGGCGTGTCCTCCTGCACAAAGCACGCGTGCAAGCGTGCAGAGCCACAAGCCTGGAGTTAACTTAAGGCCCTGCCTGCCACTCATCAAGAGGGTTCACCTCTGACAGCTTTGTGGCGGCATGAGATTGTGCAGTTGAAGAAATGAATAAAACTGTAATAGCGTGCCACGTGTCTGACTGGGAAAGGCACTTCAGAACTGCAAAGTCAAACTCGCGCAGCCACTGCTTTGCGGATGACGTACACGTGTAGCCTGAGTCCTTCAACGCAGACCAGGGAGCGTTGTACTAAACCATCTAACGCGGGCTGGATGCAGCTGGTAACCATCTGTTTTTTCTTTCAGATACCGAATAGAGTATGAGACACTGTGTAAAATTGAAGCAGACCAGAACGAATTCATTGACCAATTCATTTTTCAGAAATAGAGGATGCTAAGATAAAAACAAACTAACTTGGAAACTTGACCATTCCAAAATCTTGAGATTTTCAAAAATATGCAATTTTTCACTGTGTATGAATGAATAGATGGTTTGAACAAATGGAATTGTCTTAATTCCTTGTGAATTACACTAAAAGTGGCAATAAGGAGGGCTTTCTAACATGTAAAGACTGTTCTGTCCTTTGATTTTATAAAACTTTTGTACAGTCAGTAGTTCTAATTCAAACTATAGTTGAATTAATACTACTGTTGCTATGTTATTTCTCTCACTTTTTGAATTGTACAGCTCTTTCAAAAAAATCGGGAAATAAATTATTGTTTTCAGACTTTCTGGATATCCCAGCATTAGTTGCTTCTGCTATGTTATTTTTGAGCTTAAGAGTTTACAACTCCCTGGACAGTCATAAAGATTTTCCTGTATGTACTGGTTTTCATGTCTGTAAAGACACAACACACAATTAGCAGTAACTCTTATCTATATTGACCAGATTATTTTTTGTATGGAGATAGGAAAAAAAAAAAAACGATAAATTTGTGATACAGAACGGATCAATTACAGACACACAAAAAAGCAGAAAATATGGCAGAATTGAACTATGCCTGAGGTATGCCCTCACAGGCAGTAATACGAGAGTAGAATTCTTCCACGGGCATTATGAGCAACAGAACTGCAAACGGAGGAGACAAACCATTCCGAGTGCACAGTGACACCAGCAGTGTATATAAACTATAAATATGAATGTGACATTTAAAAACCAAATGTCTGGGATCTAAAATCAAGCCTCGTGTTGAAGTGCAAATAGATGCATTTTACATGTGTCTTTAGGCAACCAAATATGGAAACGTTGGCCTTTTCAGAGCCTGCGGAAGGCTTAAATTTTATGGCAGTGACTGAAAAACCTTCTTGGTGACCTGTAATTTTACACAAGTCTCCAAGTTTGATTCTTGCAGATCAGATTGAAAATTAAAAACAAAAAAACCCCAAACCCAACCACCCCAGAATTTCCATCAGTAGTAGGTTTTATGTACTGTAACTTACGCATATATTTACTGTGTGAACTATGATCTCACGGCCATTTTAAGTTCCTTTTAGTCATTCCCTTAAGAAGATTAAATGCAGTTGAATGCCTTTAGTTATTTATTGCCATACTAGAAGTGTTTTTGTGGAAGAGCGAAATTTCCAAATCCTCGTTTACAATTTCTGAAGTACTTCAAAACCCTCTCGGACAGATGCCTCGTTGTCAAACAATGTTCGCTTTAAGCATTCAGAAATCCAGATTTTGGCACATTTATCAAGATCAGACACTTGCAATTAATCAAAATTGAAGCAGAGCAAAGGAAGGTGAAATTTTAAAGGAAGGGGTGAGGAAGTTAAGAATTACTATGTGATTTGAAATGCTTCAAAAGCATAGCTTTGCAAAGCCGTATATAATCAGTTACGGATTTGCAGAATATGCTCTTGGAAGACAGATTTCTTACTTAAGTGGTTTTCTAACAGTCATCTTGGAAAAAGGGAATGTGAAAGAAAAGTATCAGCTGCAGTGCCCCCCTCCGCATGATGCAGTTACACATCAAATGGTTAAAAGGTCCTGTTCTTACTACGGATGTAGCGCACAAACGGGCCGGGGGAGAGGAGTGAGGTCCCTCCACCTGCGTGTGCCCAGAAACCGCGTGGAATTGCGAGTAGAGGCGTCTGCCAGAGCTACTTCTGACGGCAGCAGAGCCGTAAACTCAAACCAATTCAAATTTTTCTTGCAGGAGCCAGACGCTCTGGTAGCAGCTGCTGCAGCCGCCCCCACGGGGCAGGTGTGTGTCCCAGGGCACCACGTCAGCACAGGGCCCCAACCGAAACCAGTAGGAGTGGTGCGCTTACAGCTGCCAGCGGGGACTACTTCCTTTTCCTCTTCTCCACGTGGTTATAGTGGGGGTGGAAGAGCATGGTGAAAAGAATCAGAAGTGGTATCAGCAGGTACGGCGCGTATACCGATAGCAGAGTGAGGCGCTCACGTTGTGTCTGAGGTCCCAAACGCTCAGACTTTGAGAAGTCGTGGAACAGGATATGCGCGAGGATAGCAAACAAGGTGGTCGCTACGTGGGTGGAGTAGATAATTGCAGGAGTCCGTATCCATTTGCAGCCACCTGTACAGAAGCAAAAAGGAAACAATATTGAAGTATTTCGAAACAAGCAGAATTCAGTGGCTTTTAAATTAATGGAACATTAACTGCTCTATTGATAGGATAAGCCGTAAGTCATATTAAATAGGTAGCAGAAAAAAACATGAAGTACTGGTAGCAACCCAGGAAAATTACCTACCTTTTTGGAAATTCAGAACAATGGTGTGATCGTGAAAGTTTTAAAGTAACAAAATGAGTACACAGGCTCGACCCAGAACTTTATCTACCTTGGAAGCGTGCCCAATGTCAAACATTGATGCTGGTTATGTATAAACGGCTGCGGTGGGAAAGGGCCCACAGTGACGGGGTTTGTTTCTGACAGGTCTTATTCTGTGCTGCTTTCTCAGATAAAACTTGCCATGAAAATAGCACAGCACAGCACTCCACATCGTACATCCCTATAACTGCTTAAGACTGAGAAATAAACTTTCTCTGCAGTAGCAAAAGTGAGCATTAGCAGAAATGTGGGACAGGACATATTCTTACAGTAGTTTCACACCAACCTTTGAAGAAGGCGTAGACTGCAACGGGGAAGAACGGCATTTGTAAGAAAGCTTCGCAATATATGAACGCCTTGAACCACTCCGGGGGCTGGAGCATCATGGGGTCTTTAAAGGAGGCTGCGTACCACTGTAACAACTCTGTCAGCTTGAGAAAAAGAACAAAACAACAGATTAATGCACTGAGCGTCAGCCACAACGGGAAAAACTGTGGCGCTGATGTGGCAGTCAGCCGGGACCATCAGTGCAGAGGGAAAACGAAGCGATCTCATCTCGGTACACAAGGCTTCGCATTGCGGTTCCATTGTAATAGGGGCTGCACTTCTCAAGTCTTTAAAGCAATGAACCCTCTCCATCAAGTTTTTATTAAATTTGCATTATAGGCATTTTTAGGATTACTACAGCATTAAGTGGAGTTGCTTTCCAAAAACTATTCCTGAAATGTCATTTCCTACTGGAAAAAAACTCAAACCACAAAAAATCTGCACCTTGACATTAGTAGATATTGAAGAACTCTCGTATTTTCCTCTTTCTGACCCTCGTGTTGCCCACTGAGGTGGCCCCAGCGTCACAGATACTTGTGGGCACTTGCATTGTCCACCCAGGAGCTGGGACGCCGGCCAGGTCCTGCCGGCCCGGGGGCGCTGTGCCCTCGCTCCCTCAGGAAGCGCATCCTCAGGGCAGGAGGTCGGTGGCTGCCAGATGCTGCTCCAGCGGCTTCATGTTGGGATTTTGCAAATAGTTTCCATGACAGAAATGTAAATTCCAGCACAGCTTTAAGTTGGACTTTGAACGGAGAGATATGTATTGAGATTTGCTGGTTAACTATTAATTAAAAATGGGTTCCATAATGGAGTAATTCTTCAGGCAATTTGAATGGCAAAACCCAAATTCACTAATTATAAAGCTTGGATAGGAAGTTACGGGCAATCTCACCCTGATGATGAGAGCTGAATTGATTATATTCTATCCAACTATTACTTTAATTGGCTTTATTATGTTTATTGTCTTCTAGAAGTCTATTCAGGTTGAGGGAGGTCATCCTCCCCCTCTGCTCTGCCCTGGGGAGGCCACATCTGGAGTATTGTGTCCAGTTCCGGGCTCCCCAGTTCAAGGAGGACTGGGAACTGCTGGAGAGGGTCCAGCAAAGGGCTACAGAGATGATTTGGGGACTGGAGCATCTCTCTGCTGAGGAAAGGCTGAGGGACGTGGGGCTTTTCAGTCTGGAGAAAAGAAGATTGAAGGGGGATCTTATCAACGCTTATCAATCCTTCAAGGGAGGTGCCGGGGGATGGGAACAGTCTGTGTCCAGCAGTGCCCAGTTACGGGACAAGAGGGAACGGGCACAAAGGTGACCATGGGCAGTTCCATCTCCACCTGAGGAGGGCCTTCTCTGCTGTGAGGGCGGCAGAGCAGTGGCAGAGGCTGCCCAGAGAGGTGGGGGAGTCTCCCCCTCTGGAGCCATCCCAAACCCGCCTGGACGCCGTCCTGTGCCACTGCTGGAGGTGCCCCTGCTCTGGCGGGGGTGGGATGGGGGAGCTCCAGAGGGCCCTTCCAGCCCTCACCAGTCTGGGATGCTGGGATTCAAAACCCAGCAAACCAGAGATTTTTACTAATAAATTTGGTGGCAGTGTGCCTGCTTCCGCAGGGGGAACAATTCCCTTCTATGTCTGGCAGGAGTACGAGCGAAAACCAGGAGCGGTGTCCACGTGCTCGGGCTGCCGGCGGCGTTGGGGCCTTCACGCAGCGCGTGCGGGGCAGCAGGTACGCTCCCGCCCAAACGGGTTTTACTCTGCCAACCTTCGCTTTCCTCCACCTGCCAAAGGCACAACGCACCTCCCGGGAGAACTGTCCCCCGCGGCCCCCCAGGGACCCTCCGTGTGCGCCCGGTGACCGCAGTGACGGCGCCCGGGAGGAGCGGCGCGCGTACTTCTGAATTATGGATTTAAAAATCCCGTCAGCCACAGCTGCGACGCGCTGACAGACCGTCACCGCCACTGTCCTTCCCCAATGAATGGCTTCACCGAGAGCGCTCGTCATCGCGCGGAAAGCCAAGTGCTGAGTTATTTTTAAATACTACCTCGTTTTCGGAAATTTACTGCGTTTCTTCTCCCCCCTTCCCTCTCTACCTACTGGATTTTGTACAAACAGCCACAGGATGGGTGAAACCCAGCCGAACCCG